GTTAATCTACTTCAACTGATTTTGATTTTATTAAGCGCTATTTTTATTAACAAAATACTTTTTGCTTGTTACATTACATTAAGAGACGTGTTTGTGTTCTCTCTCATCCTAATTTTAATTATATTTTTATGTTAAACGATACAGTTTTATTACATGCACAATAAATGGCCCGTGGTGCTTAATGAATGAGAGTTTCAGGATAAGATGGAGAGATACTRGCGATGAAGAAAGCGGAATRCAAGTTTTTTTMTTCGCTTTCTTTTGTGTGATTTTCATTCGTCCATGYGTGGCTCAATCACTTCACGATCTACATCCTCCCTCACTTCTCTTCACTYCCATAAGCAGACTTGACAACAAAGGGAAAAACAAAGCAATGAARTCAATCTTATCGACATAAAMACCRCAGCAATAAAAACAAGAATAAACAKAAGCTAAGYTAAGTCAAAAGCATAAATAAAGAAGAACTACTTCCTTTTGTCTTCTTCATTCATTTTAATAACTAAGTCTATTGTATTGTCCATGGAGCACGGCAAAATGCTGATTTGGTACCTATTTAAAGGGACACTGTAATTGGAACGCATGCGCGAGTAAACTTGAAAACACTAGGCTAGTGTTTTCAAGTTTATGACTCCAAGTTGACGCGACATAAATCAGCTCGTAAACGTAAACAGACCTAGAATATATATTCCAAAATGTGTCCAAAGCACCACAAAATGATTTACCTCGAAGGTAATACTTTCAAAGTCGGTTAGAGGTGAGACTGTTACTGCGCATGTCATCCATTGACAGTTTTAAACTCGCTGTTTGAACTAATGATCACCATCGGAAGTTTCCGCCATTTTGTTTTGTAAGAAAGTTTTCCGCTGACCTTAAGGTTGCTGTCGGATCGCCCATGCTTATTTCGCAGTGTGGACCGTTTCTTACGCATGTGGCTTCGCGAGTGACAGATAGCTATAGCTACARTGTCTATAAGATATTTATGATATTTATCAATGACTAAGAAATAAATGCTCAATACCAAGACTGTAATGGAAATAAATGATACCAAGAAATCCCGATGAATTAAAGTGCAAAATTAAACTATAAAAACTCATTGAAATTCTATTTTTAAAAGAATGCGTTATGTGGCAATAAAAATAACTAAAAAATCGAAGGAAAGTAAACCAGAARGCAAGAAAGGGAAAAAAAGAAAAAAAAAGAGAATTAAAATTGCTAGTCAGAAACGCTGTTCTTCGGTTAGCAGCCATACATGGTAATCTCACCTTATTTGGAAGTTCATGTGGACTCTTTTTTGGCAATTAACTCGATTTTTGAATCTTTAAATAGTCTAAAATTTGCAGATATTATAGAGAAAAGATCTCTTTATAATCGACCATTTTGACTGTTTCCATATATGGCAAAGATTGGCTAAATCAAACTAAACTTACAAAAACACAGGGATCCCGGTCGAATGACAACAATTCTTTGATAAGGCTTGTGAATTATGTTTCTAATTTGATTGTCTAATACATTAAATGATTTTTATACCAACGACTCGCAACATCAACGTTTCAACGTTTTTATGTAAACTTCTACATTTAAAGTAAGAAAAAACGTTAGCAGAAGAACTCGTTACAAACATGATAACCTTTATGCTTTCTCTTATGTTTAAAAGTTACGAGTACGAACTGCAACAATATGGACAAATTCTCATGTTTATGTCAAGCTTGCGCTTGTRCAAATCAGCATTGGATGCTTCTGATTGTGYTWATATCGTAGTATTAATTGTCCCGTGAGAGAGTTCTATCTWMTGTGAAAAACAGTTGATGTTGCGCTTCGTCTTCTGTAATTATAGTTTTACTAATTATTGATTTTTAATCAATCAGTCGTGATTTTAGTACTGGAGATGGAGATGGAGAATGAACTTGTGCCACTTTGGTCTTGGGCGACATTATGTCTGAATAATGAAATGAATCAATGATATAATAGACAAACAGACTTTAGACAAAATAGAAAGGAAGACGGACAGATATTAAGACTCTGGCAATGATAATGAAAAAGGCAATGCCAATAGCAATAGCAATAGCAATAAGAATGCAATGACAATGGCAATGACCACTAATGGCAAAAGCAATGATAATTTCAATGGCAAAAACAATGGTAATGGAATGGCAATGTTCAATACCAATGACAATGGCAATTTTCATTGCAGAATGACAAGTAGGTTAGCACGCCGGCAAACAATAAAAAAATATGCATACATAGAGAGAGAAATTTCGAACAGCAGGCAGACAGAAGGGCAGACTCAGAAAAGATAACTGAAAATAGTTTATCGATTGCAGATAGGAATTTGGGAAATATTGAACCAGTTACTATAAATATCCCAAATACAAGTGTCGGCTGCCGTTAAGTTTCCAATGCACAATCGTYGGTACGTTTACTTACGTTGGTATGTCTCCAGGTTTTGCTTCTGTGGTGACGTATCGCCCTGGTTCTTCTTCTCTTGGTGATGCTGGTGCATAACGAGGCTTCATCGTTTCTGGAAAGTCTTCTTCATCGATATATTTCTTTGGTGCCGATTGATAATACCCTTAGAGACAACAGAGAGGTTGAATACTTTGGGAATCCAATGGAACAAGCCAAAGTAGACCCCTTCACGATTCCCTGCGCCATCTTGAAAGTTAGCCGCGCCTTTGTATCGAAGCGACAGCCGTTGAGCGTGATACCTGTGAATAATTATCCGTTGGTGCGAAAAAGGTTTCCATCATGGCACACTCAACGGTCGTAMGTCACGGCTACTTTTAAAGTTGACGCAGGGAACCCTTAAGGAGCGTAGACAACATTCTTATTTTCTTTTGATATAAAGGTATTATTACAAGGTATCGTAGTGTCATAAGCATGTCTAAGTGAGTTACTGACCTTGYTCAATCAGCCTCGTCTTCTCCAKTGCTCCTGAGCCAATTGGTAATTCTTCATCATCTATTGTCTTCTTTCTACTGGTTTGTTCAAAGGCTCCTTGTTCGAAAAACCTTCGTCTTTCACTAGCTTCGCCGTGAATRGTCGACAGTTCTTCCTGAAGAGCTCTTTTATCAGCTGATTCATGTGGCTCAGACTCAAATCTGCATTAAAAAGAACTGTAAGCTAACACAATGTAGGATTCAAATCAATTTTTCTGTCCCCTTTCATATATTCCATGCGTTTATTTTAACGGGTTGTCAGCAAAAAAAACAACAACAAAAAACAAACAAACAAACAAAAACAATACATTTTAAAAAATCAGAGCACTCAGAAATGGAGAATAGTCTTTTCTTACGGTTCCCTGCGCCATATATTGAAAGGGAGCCGTGTCTTTGCATCGAAGCGAGATGACAGTTCAGGGTGCAATGGTAGACACCTGTGCCCTACCTTTTAATATGGTACAGGAAGCCCTAAAAGAGACCATTTTACATGGAGATCGGTTAGACGAACCTGTTTGATTGTGTCGCTTCGTAGTGGTACTCTTCTCCATTCGTTTCCCCTGTCAGTTTTCTTGCTGTAAGTGAACCCTGGAATCTTTCTTCGTCGATGTATTTCTTGGGCTTGCTCTCAAGAGCACCCTCCTCGAACAACTTTCTTGTGTTGGAAGCGCCCTTGGCGTATGCAAGTTCTTCTTCATCTTCAATAGTTTTCTTTCCRCTGCTTGTTTGGAACTGACCTTTAACATAAAATTCAATGTTATACTGCAATTTTTATAAAGAGTAAAGAAGTCAACAGCATTAAAAAGTTTAAAGATGAGAGAATTACAAGATTCATGTAAGYGACCACGGTTTGGCGCGTCTGTAATTTCAGGTTTCACGCATGCAGGATCTCTGTGAACAAATTCAAGGACCTTCCAAGGAACAAAATGCTTGAGCATGTTATATTGTGAAATATCTTCAACACTATGTCAATTCTTCTAGTTGGTGTTGAAGACTTTATTGATCTCTGTTGTTTTGGGGGAAGGGAAAGGACATTTCAAGGACAATTCTCTTGTCCTTTTTTTTAAAGAGTTCCAAGTTCCCCTGAAAATGCACTTTCAATTCCAGCACTTTTCAAGGATTCTAAGGACCCGGGGCTATGGTTGTTAGAGGGTTAGCTGATAAAGTTACCATTCTAGACATTTTGTATGGATATTATCAACTGGATRAGGATTCATCTGGTTGTAGCGCTCTTAACCCTTCGTAAAAACGCCCCCATACCGAATCAAGATACCTTGTTCAAATAWTCTTTTACTCTCAGCAGCCCTGGCATATGCAAGTTCTTCTTCTTGATCTATAGTTCGTTTCGTGTTCTGACTCTTGAATCCTTGCTCGAACAGCCTTTTGCTTTCCAAAGCTCCTTTCGCATAAGCCAACTCTTCCTCTTGGTCAATTGTTCTTCTGGTCTCATGCTCTTTAACACCTTGTTCAAATCTGTTAACAAGTATGGGTACGGAAAATAGTTGGCACTAGAGATTTGTGTTGGCAGGTAACCATGTACAACAGAATTGCAGAATACGAAAAAAATCGAAAATGAAATTGAAAAAATCGACATGGAAAATCTTAATGTATTCTTTTATTTTCCCAGGGACTCGTCTACAATTATTTTGTACATGATCATGAACCAAAATATCTAAAGTTGACTACATTGTCCAGTAGTACTTGAATGGTTATGGAAACTTACTACTGCATATAAAGACACGAGCACGAGTGTATCAAGAAGAGATATTATATTTAGAAAAAGCAGTATTTTGCAACCATTCAAGAACTAAGATGGAATTCCACATCTCTTCAGGGCTCAGGGCTACCATTGATAACAGATGCATATGCAACTGATGGGACCACCCTGAGCTTTATAATAAATAAAGGTTTATTTATTTTCATACAAAGAAAATGCCAGTCTCACGCTCTCTGCAAACTCTTCAAGTGTCATTATTGTAATAAATACCTTCTCCTCTGCTCATCCGCAGCTCCTCTGGCAACTTCAAGTTCGCTTTCATCGAGTGTCTTCTTAGGAGCATGAATATAAGCTCCCTGTTCAATCAACTGYTTTTGTTGTCTGGCTGAAACAGTAGAGGACGGSAGGTCCTCATCGTCTATAGCCTTCTTGTGGCTATGCACATAATGACCGCTATCAATCAAACGCTTCGTTTCTGACGCAATCCCTGACGTCACCGGAAGTTCTTCCTCATCAATCATCTTTTTTAATTCTTTTTGATATCGACCCTGTTCGTAGAAGCTTTGTGTACTTTTTGCTTTGCCGGCAGATACGGAGAAGTCTTCTTCGTCAATTGTCTTCTTGGCTTGCTTGTTGACCTGCCCACTCTCGTAAAGCGTCTTCTTGTCCTTTGCGCTACCTGAAATGGTCAAAAATCAATTAATCAACAGCGTCCATTACCATTAAAGTCGCCATATTGAATTAGAGTTATTCTTGTAAGTAATACCTGGAGTTGTGGGAAGATTTTCCTGGTCAATAGTCCTGTATGTGTGMGCTTGGTGTTCACCAGTCTCAAACTGTCGTCTATAACCAAAAACATACGAAAAAGTACAAAACAAATTTCACGAACGGCAATAACAATATACTGCGCGATAAATAAGCCTTTTTCCAGTTCAATGTGAGCGACCGCTGTTTTAGTAGCCAACAGACTCACTTGCATAGATGAAAAAAGAAAGTACGAAAAAATATTGACATTTTTGCGTATTGAGAGATTTTGCACATCGGCCTTTAGGGCTAGTGTCCACCCCAAAATGAATTTTGCATTGTTGCTTATTCACTTGAATACTTTTGAACAGTTGGAAACTATAGAATAATGCAAAAACATTTAATGTAGGCGGTTGAGATGATATGGACACTAGGCTTTAGTCTCTTTGGATACGTGTTCAACATGACAATGCAGCCGGTTACATGTATTTTAGTTTTGTCAGGCATTGAAGAGTAGGACACAGGGATCCCAGTATCTTGCTAGGGTTTACCTCGCTTCGGTAGCTTTACCAGCAGTTGCCATGAGTTCCTCGTCTACAAGTTTACCAGTTGTATCTTTTTCTTCATCGTCGTCGTTGAATCGGTTAGGATCTTGCATGACTTGAGAGATCATCTCAAGCTCTTGCTCAAGGTCTGTTTGTCTCTTAACCTATCGGACATATGCATTAACAGATAATTATAACTCTTTTTAAAGTACTTTAAACTATTTTTTAAGTGCCGAGATTAACCGACACACCTTTGTTTATGTATGCATTGTAATATAAGCAAAACCTTACTCTTTATTATCGCTTTATGCTATATGAATGGAGATATTGTAAGATTCGACCTTAAATAAAACCGAAGGATGGAAACGTATAGCGAATTCTACCACAATTTAAAGATAGTAAGTAATGATTRTTACTATAAGGAACAAACCGTCTCATACCTCRKTYCTCTCGGTGGCGGCCTGATACGCAGCCCGAGAAGCGGAWGCAGCMCCATGCACAGTGTCTAGGTCATCCTTGAAAGTAACTGCTGACCCCTCGGCTCGCAGAACTTCGCCTCTTTCGAATCTAGCGCGGGTRTCWCGTGCTAGACCTGATTCAGGTAGATTTTCCTSYTCGTCTGTTTCTTTGTTGAATTGCATTTGGACACCCTGCTCGAACATGTTCCTTGCAGCTGATGAAGCACCTGTGTAATAATGTCCCCAAATAAAAACTTAGTGGTTATAGGGAGATTCATTAATTAGTTTATGGCAAAAGGTAAGTTTTTTTAATAATTCGATCATTGGAAACGAATGCATGCCATACATCAATCACGTGAAACCATTGCCGTAAATGACGTCATTGGGGAAAGTAAACTTTCCGGAATAGACAGGAGTACGCAAATACCCAAAATGTCAGTTTTAAAATAAATTYATTTACAATAAATTTGTGATAAAGCGATGGCGGATATCATCTTTGAACGTCAGTGGGTTGTATGACGTAAGTATTTAAGCGAGTGACGTATAAATGACGTTTGCCCGATGTCGTATCATGTCACGTAATTGCATTGAGTTTTGTATRTGTATAGAGCATTATGACGTCACGCATGCAAATGACGTTGATGTTGATGTTAATTAAATTAAATTATTAAAATCTGATTAGTTTATAAAAGAGTTAGGAAGATCATTATTTAGTTATAGCTAGGTTCTGTGCATTGTTACCATAGTATTTGGGGTCAGCGGTTCGCATTTCCAAGACATGTGCAGTTTGTGTCCGTTGTTCTCCATCCATTTCTTATATTTTTCAGTAACAATAAGTTCTTATCTGAAGTTGAATTTGCATTATTTATATATTTATATTTTATCTAAATTTAGTCGTTGTAGTCATACTTTCCAAGTTTTATATTTTGAAATATAAAAAATTATTTCCTCAATTACAGTGAACTGAAGGAGTCATTTAGTTTTGTCACCACTTTCGTGCAAAATAAATTCAAATCACATCTATTTTCAGTTGTCTAAAATTGCATCTGTGAAGGCTAAAGTGYAGTTCTTCCCAAACTAAAGTACAATATTTTTACGTAAACACTGATGCGTTTCCGTGGCGTGTTTTATATTTTCCACTCTCTTGAGGACAACAACAACAAACGCAACAACGCAAAGGTTTCGTCGACACTAATGTTTTTCCCGTAAKGTATGTTTATGTTTTCCATTCCATTGAGGTCGGAGTATAGAAAAACGCCAAGAAAACGCATCTGCCTTAGCTTAGTACGAACAATAATTAACGAAGGACCAACCATGTGTATACCAGATCCAAAGTTACATGAATTACAAATGATTGATKAACTAGTTTCCCTTCCCTCCGATCCTCTAAATACATAAAACTCGTACCCCTCCCTCTCTATCAAGTGGCAAACGTCAAGGTTAATATACACTCCTCTCCGACTTCAAGGCGCATAAAGATAAGCAAATATTTATCCCTCGGAAATTCTCTTGCAATGTTCAAAAGCAACTTAAAACCATTTTTATCCGAGGTGAAAAAAAGATTGAAAAAACTTATACTGCCCTTCCCCGCCCTCCAAGGCACAACAACAACAACAACAGAACTAGAAAAAACATATACCCTACCCCTCCCTCCCAAGGTGCATAAACCAACCTTTAGTTGGCGTATAGCTGAGCCGCTTTTCTCGCTGGTCCTCTTTCGARTGTTCCCCGGAYTCGTAGCGCCTTCGAACAACATTTGCAGCACCAGAATTAACTAACTCTTGAAGATCATCCTTTTCGCCTTGTTCAGTGTCTTCTCTAATGGAAGCATCTCCTGTGTCATTATTGTATTATTAAATTAAAATTCCACGTGATAATACTGGTCTAGCGATAATGCTCTTCAAGACCAACGCGCACCCGAAAACCTTTGCGCGCTTTTCTCACGAAAAACGTCATCTTTGATTTAGAACCAATCAGAGAACAGCTAGCTATCATCAACTGAGCTATTTTAGAGAACACATATGATCGCAAAGGTTATCGGATGCAAGAAGGCTGAGCTATGATATATTTCGTAAGCCGCGCACCACATCTGAGGAATTTTCGTCGTGTACCGGGCAGCCAAGTACTTTGTAGGTTTCCGAACACACGAAATGGAATAGTTTGAGAATTTTGATCCTCCTCAAAGCCATCCAGCTAGGTATAATACATCGAATACAAATAAAATGAAGCAAAATAAACAAAGTATCAAGTCTTATGCGGAAGGTTTAAACACGGTGGGAGCTCGAAAAACACGAGAGAAGCAAGCTTAGGAACACGACCGTAGCGTAGTGTTTCTCTTGATTCTCGGGTGTTTTTCAACTCCCACCGTGTTTATATCAGAGGACAGAGACACAAGCGGCCGTTTTATATTTCTTTTATAAAATTTTTCGAAAGAACATTTTGCCGGTAAGCCGTGTCTCTGTCCTCTGATATAAACACGGTCGTCAGCCAATCAGAGCGCGCGTTATATATCAAAAATTTTATAACATAATATATATAAAATCCTTTTCGGAAATATCAACCGGTTACGGATTATTCTATAAGACGTAAGAAGAATCGCGAAACGTTAACGATTCAGTATAATTATAAGAAATTTCATGCAACTAGAGATTGGAAAGAGAACGCAAACTAATCATGTATGYCACGTTAGATTACAAACTGCCATGAATGTTTACGCAAGTATACGTCTTGTAATTAAGTAGCCCCTTGATACGCAAGTATGTTACGTAAATAAACAGAAACTGCTTACGGAAGGCCATGAATGTTCACACTGCAAGTATATGTCTTTTGGTAAGTATAGGCAATTAATACGCAAGTATGTTTACGTAAATAAATGAAACTGGAAAGCTTACGGAGGACAAATAAACAGGCGTGCCGTCACGTATTTTTTCTATTACGCACGCATACGTAAGGCTGTAAATCGATAGTGATTGATAGCGTAMGGACGTACAACGAATGGCTATATGCTACATAAGTATACGCAATTGCTCCAAATAGACGAAACCGTACTACAGGAAATGCTACAGTGTCAATAATACGCAAGTAAGCTACGTAAACGACCGCAGTTGGGTGGCAAAATGAATGCTGTACGGACGACTCATGGGATGGATACGTAAACACTATACGTGTACGTACGCACGTATGAAGACATGRACGTACAAATGTTTACGCAAGTATCACTGCGTAATAATCCAATAGTCAAAGTGCAGCTAGACGACATCTTGCACAACATGATGGGAATGTAATCCTCGGACTTTACTAAACTAGAAAAATCTCACTAAAAGTCGTATGTTTTCTCTGTAGAAACTGCAAAACTACTCCTGGATTTGGAAAATGAAGAAAAAACGCCTTAGTAAGACTATTTTCGATGGCATGAGAAAGTGCGAGGACTTTGTTGTACAAAATGGCGTCGCAGTATACTGCCTATTACTTGATGGATGTACATATCAGTGTTTCTATTTACGCTTTGAAAACTCCAAATATCATCGTTTTTTATCGTCTTAAAGACAGGACGTTTAAAAATTGATCAGATTACGACGTAGAAWTTTTTGAGCTACAAAACCTGACGTTTTACGTACGTAATGTTACGCTTTTTTACGTAGATTAATAAAGTATACGTAGCCTACCTGATTCAAACATCGCTTTAGTCCGTGACGCGGAGCCGTGTTCAGGTCKACCGTCCTCTTCACTTAACTGAGATGACGTCACATTGCTTACCATTCCCTTCTCGAACAGTTGGCGCTTATTCGAGGCGGCGCCTCTTTCAGGGAGGGCTTCCTCGTCGTCSGCTTCCTTGCTCCTGGTAACGTTGCTGACTTGTCCTTTTTCGAAGATTTGCTTGGTGTTGACAGCTGTTCCTGATGCTGGCCTGAACTCATCCTAGAAAAAATCATTACATTGCAACCTACAATCGATGCCAAAAAAAACTTGGACCATATTATTTGTATCTAGCCTAACATTTTTTCTCCTATATTTTTTCACAGTTCTCCCCCTTAGCCACCTTTCATCAATGTTGCGTCTTGTTTTGGGTGCTTGTGTACTATGGTAACATGCCCAATGACAATATTCAATTTAGGGGGTTAAGGGGGATGAAATTGTCTGCGGGTGGTGCTTAAAATGAGGAAATTCGCTGGATAAGTCCAAGGATTTTGTCAAGATTCTAGTTGCGGTTTTTGCCTAAGTAGTCACACACAAAGGCATCAAGATGAGGCGCCGTACATAAAGCTCAGTCATTCGTGAAAAGACAAATAGTTTTTCACAATTGACTGAGATTTACGCACGGCGCCTCGTCTTGGTTCTTTTGTGTTTGACAACTGGAGCGAAATTCGCAAGTCGGCTGTTGCATACATCATTGTCTCACCTCTTCATGTTCCCGCTTAAATTCAGCATTGTGGACTTGATTTGCTTCGAAAGCGGCCTTTGTTGATGCAGCAAGTCCRCCATGGATTCGTGTGAGGTCTTCGTCCTCGTAACGAGTGTACGTYTCTGTACGATGTTCAAAAGCAGCTTTGGCTTGAGATGCCACGCCTGCCTGCAGTATTCAAAAACATCTAAGTCGCCTTAAACCCGTGAAACAATTATAGCAATTAATCAACCTCGCAGTATCAAGTAATTTCTAATGTTAATAACCTGTTGAGCCAATGTTATGCTCTAATTTGCTTACAAGTGCGTTCATGAAATCCAAGAGAGATTTCGTAATATTGAAATTGCAATAACGTACAGTCCTGTCTAAACAATATAGAAGATGCTAATTGCCTAATTAGGTGGCAAATAGCTTCAAATACACGGATATCAGTACTAAATAAGTAAGCGGCATTTGGGTTATCTATAAGGCCATGGTCGATCTATAGAAGGTGGTCGGATAAAAGAAGTTCGATTGCTAATCCATACCTCAGGTAAATCGTCCATCTGAGTTCGCTCTACAGTTGAACTCGACATCATGCCACTCTCGAACTTTTTAAGACTGTCCTTGGTAACGCCCTCTGACACCATCACCAGGTCAGGTGTGAATTTCTCTGTTTCTGTCATGATTCGGCTTTCAAATAATGCTTTTCCTCGTTTTGCACTTCCTTTCCGGGGGAGTTCGTCGATTGCGATTTTACCTTGATCTATTAAATCGCTATGAATAAATACCAATAGAACACACTAGAATTGCAAGTAAAATTTCTATTTCAAGTCAGGTGACACCCCCCTGAAACTGCCTTTTTAGGGTGATTTCTTTGTTTGCAATACTCCTATATGCTACCCGCCATTCGTGGTTTTTCTATATAGTGGAATTAAGAAAGAGGTATATAAATGGAGATACTGCAAGATTCGACCTTTAAACCGATGGATGGAAAAGGATTACGAATGGATATTCGAAGTCATCTCATTTTCCATATATGAAAAATCTAAAATACGACCGCATTGAATGCTGGTGGACCATSGCCCTTTAATCAATTCATTTAATCCATGTTTGTGATTGTGATTATGTCGAACGACGCATTATAATAAATAAACATGATCCCTACGCATCAAGTTCCATAGAAATATTCAATYTAAAAGCACATGACTTTAATTTCTTGATACTAAAAGCCACAATATCCTATGAATCGAACATACCGCACCTGTTATGTTATTTAGCCACTTATTTTCACACTATTATCATAAACATAATCAAAAATACGACATTCTTTACACGAGAGATTTTGTTACGACATTTAGTCTAGCTCTTGCCCACTGAGCTTTTYTGATAGCAAAACAAAAGCATTTCTATTTAATTTGAGTGAATTAAGTCGATRTGAAAGTCATGGGAATGCATAATGTTAAAGCTTTCGTTACTGAAAACCGAAAGGTAAGATTAAAAATATTTCGAATTTCTTGAGAATATATATGAGAAAATAAAAAAATAAATAAATAAATAAAACAAGGTGTTTTTCTTGATTTTTGTGGTATTTTTTACCGCGCTTATGACGAGACCCGATTCAATTAACTTTATTTTTTTGTTTCATTTTTTCTAAAGCATTTAAAATCATATAATATAATTTTTATCTATCAATAATCATAATAATAGTGGAAAATCGCTCTATTTCTCGTTTCTAGCAGCTTGTCTATTGAAATGATTTGAATATAAATTCATCAAGCTGACATACACTCGAAATGCTGTCTTGATTGAACGTAATTTCTACATCATATTTGTACAGACACTACATCAGAGTATCACTCTAAAACGTGAAAAACCACTGCTCTCTTTCTCTTTGTGCCTGACGTCTGTTATATATAATACCTATATACGGCTCCAACTGTACATTATCTTATGAAATTAGAATTTTTCACGAAAATACATAATTTTTGATGTAATTTGAGGGTTTAGAATATAYAAATAAGACTCCGAAGGCCATATTTGTGATAATTATAGTAAATGTTACCTTTCTAAAGCGAGAAAATAGTGATTTTTACGGCGTATTATACCASCAAACAAGCCCCAAAACAACTCCCAATACGCGAGATACGTTCAGCATTTTACTATACGGCACATGCGTGTAGCTATGTTTTGCTTAAATCGAAAGCACCCCACACAAMTGACTGGAAACTTAAAACAATTGTATGTGAATAAATTGTCTTAAAAACCGAAAGCTTTTCATCCAGACAAAGCCATTTTAATTACAAAAATTCAAAATTGCAGTTACATTTGACTCTAATAAAGTGTTCTGACCGCGAAAAATATTTTCTTTGAAAAACCGACAWAGCCATAGGTTTTGGCCGCAGAAAATATCAAAACAACAGATATATTAAACTTTTTTTGTTGTCTAGACTTCGAATGGCACTCAAAAAAGCACAATATCGGAATTACAAAAAAAATTAAGAATATTAAGGCWWTTGAGTGATAAAAATTTGGCGGGCTTTTCTATTTCGCGCGCTTTTCTAAAGAGATTTCGACGCGCGCRCGCCTACACATGTCATTCGATATCGATTAAGATACCAGGAGCTTAATTGTCGCTTATCTCAAGTAATTGAAATATAAAAAAAATACGAATTACATTACKTTGTATGATAAAGCGTTTTCCGACTTAAAGGACAATGGTCCACCATCCCTTTCGAGCTCTATTTAGCCATGTTTGAAAATAGAAATACATCGTCAAATTAGCAAAAACGTACTCTATATTATCCCTTTATGCTCTATGAATAGATACATTGTAAGATTCGACCTTAAAAACCGACGTATGGAAACGGATTTTATAGATATGAAAAATCTGTGGTGATTTTAGGTGTTATAGCATAATGCGTCGTATTACWATCGTAATCGCAATCGGAAGTAATCAATTGGAAAATATTCCAACCCGAATATAAGCAGACGGCAATAAGTCCGCCCGTGTTACAATTTGTTTACGGCTAAGATGGTTGCAGCACATTATCGCAATCGTACACGTAAGCGCAACTTAAAGTAGTGTAATTTAGATGCTTTAAAATCGCAAATCTATCCAATTGCTTGCTTGTCATTCAAACATTCAGTGCCGGTCAAGCGGCAAATAAARGTTTTAMYTTTGAAATATCATGATATGGATATAYTCATGTGCTGGCTGTCAATATCTTTTTTATACATCAAGAACGCTTCAAAGTAATTCCTTATGCAGCGGACATATGCAAACGTAATCATAAAACGTTGATTTATCGACCTCAGACCACAAWTTCAGATGATGAGCAAACATGGATTMATTTTYTTATTATTGSCATAAATTGGACCTCATTATCTCGTTATTTTCATTGCCACACAATTGTGAATCCAAAGAAACTCCCTAGGTAGCAAGGTCTAGAGATTTACGTTAGGAACCAATTATTTACCAAACACAATAAAATGAAAACAAACAAAAGGGCAACAACCAATCTGCTTCAAGAGTTTTTTTCAAAGGTCAAAAGTCTTTCGCTTTTAAAGCTGAAGAATATTACAATGGCAAACATTTGGATAAAAGAAACAGACTTTAAACTGAATTCAGAATGGTAAATTTATGTTCTTTTTGGCTATTTTGGGTGAAAAAGTTCTTGACATTGAAGATTATACACTATATTTYTACATGAAACAAATTCTACTTAAAAAATCTAATTTTAACATATTTTTTTCTGAATAAACAAATCTAGGAATACCTGAATTCGAGTGCAGGAATCTTAGCATACATTTCGGAACATGGAAAAATTTTGGCGCCGAAAACTTCCAAAATRCGCAAAAAAATAATCAAGCCCCATTCAAGGCAAAAAAATCACATTTCAAGCGATTATAATTGTTGCATAAAATGTTATCAGAAAGTGTAAATTTGTTTGTCTTTTTTGGCAAAGCTAATATAACCCTTTTAGATTTCTCAATGTGTTTAACATTGAATAAAATTTACTGCCACTGACGTGTTTGTATATACYGCATTTGATTCTTCAAAAACCTGCTCCGCTATTTGCTTTTTTAAAAATCCTCTGGCAAAATTCCTTTGCTTTAATACATAAAGTCCAACTTCGAGCAAGTTCCTTTTTTAAAATCTTTCAAATACAAACCATCGAATCTAAAAACTGTTAGAGCTTTATAGAAATAATTTATACATAGAAAAGATCGTAGAAATACCTCTCGTTGGCTTCAGCAAGTGTAGCACTATTGACTGAATTCATATCTAGCATCATAGCTGTATCTGCCGGGTCTGTCGGGGTTCCCTGCTCCGTATTACCATGAAAAGCCATTTTGAGTTGTAAAAATCAACTACAACCCGATCACAGAGTAATATGACGATAAGATCTTCCACCTTGGCTGTGTTTCTTTTTACGAGAACAGAGCTTTTTGATGGGATGTTTGGCAGAATGAACCGAGAGTGCTTTGCATGCATTACACACCCCTCCCCTCTTAGGAACTATTTGTCTGATTTGTAATATAAATTGAATGTAATCGCGAAAAGCGTCGATTTTTAGAGGGGATTTTTAAAATGCCACACAAATGCTTATAATAATAATAATGCTAATACTACTGAATCGTGTTCAATCAAAATATATRCAGATTTATAAAATATGAAAATATTGAGGTACAGGAAAAGACTAGTTCATGCTGTTTCAGCTTTGCACACTGTACAGAGAATGCTGAGCCGGAAACGCTCAATTATCAGCTTTGCATTGTTTTGTTTTGAAAATAAAGTCTGAGCACATTTTCAATGGTGAGGCCACAGGAACCCCAGTTACATATTGATTTGAATGCTTACACATCCAGACTTGGGTTCCCTGTGGTCATATCGTATTCAATTTACTGATAMGATTGATAGGGTTGTAGGGTCATCTCGTCTCTCATCTTTTACAGGAAGAAAAAAAAAGACAAAAAATAAAAAATTGAAAAAAAGCCAGAGACCCTTGAAAATCATTTTAGCTCAGACGGAAAGTACTTCAACGCTGAGAGCATTTGAGCTTTTATAACTAGAAAGACACTCAATCTTTTATTCTTATGTACTTTGCAACTAACTCCGTATATAATACATTTATTATAAGATGGTTTTTGATATTACTGGTCTGCGTTCAATTAACAGCCCAACCGCAGACCAGATGTAGGCAGTCATCGCAGTCTCACGTCAAACGTGGCTATTTATAAATTAACTTTAACCCTTTTCGGGTCTTTCAACGTACCACAATATTGGATTCCTTTGTATTTTTGGARGCATTGTTAAGCTTCTGTTGAATATTTCATTGCCATAAAAATTATAGTTTTATTTTTCTGTCRTTGTTGTTTTGCCATTAAGTGATCAATTGTCGAATTCAATTTGCTATATGATAAACAATAAATTTATAAAAAAATCTCATAGAGATTATATATTGACCTCGCTTGATTATTGTCCCCAAAGGAATGAAAAGTAATTAACTTCGCTTTAATGAAACATCGTCAAAACGTCTGGAGCCATAATGACGTAATCCATGACCACACACCACACCCTCTGTTTAACCAAAGGTCTCTTATCATGGACAATTAAACATGGTCTGCACTTCTTTAAAAGGAAACATGTTGGAAAGATGGTGATTCCGGTCCTGCATATTTGAAATTTTTTTGTCAGAAGCCTTCCAAAACAATCGGTCTGCGATGATTAAAATTATTCAATAGTGGGAATCATGCCATGAATGACCTATTTAYTAATTGACAATTTGTGATTATAATAGTAGTTAGCGCGATAAGAAAACCTGCTGATAATGATAATAAAACTGAGCAATATATACTTCGTTGGATTGTCGACGTGATTTTAAAACAAAGCCTTTGATGATGTAACGCAAGAACTCTGTCACGCTTATAAATAGTTCGCGTGACAAAAAATCTTWAGCCGTCGAGCTAGATGATATTATATAATTTTACAYGCAAATGCTTCTACATATATCAAAACTCTAGCATTATTGCAGGTTAAAAAACTTTGCATTTCCTAACACTGTCATGRCAATGTTTACTGATTCGCGAGTYTCAAATAATTTGATTGTTTATCAAAATATTAAACTTTGATCAGCACGGAWCGGATAATGGACCGTTCTTGTCGTAATGTTAGCTCTKATTGACTCGTAGCACATAGGTTAACAATATCCTCTGCTAGCAATACGAAAATGAATCTCTACAATGCTAGAMWATGGTAAAAYKTTGCAGTAGCCCCACTGCAATTGCATGACAATTCAATTTCAATTGAAAGAAAACAAAGCACATCAAAATGTTACTAAAGTTTTAACCAGTGATTCTTATTTCTATCTTAACATTTACTTTCTCTTAACACTTAAAGGAAGAGCTGTTAACTTGATAATTTTCTAGGTTTAAGCCTATTAAACTTCTACTCGAGCGGCTAATAACTSCCTGTGAAACGCCTGACAAGATCTGTCCATCAATTGAAATCATAAACAAGCAAAAAACAGAATAAGAGTTTGCAAAAGAAGAGCAAATACTTACCTCTATGTTTACCAACGGCAGGCACTTGAGTATAATCGATAACAAGCCTAATTGGAGCAGCTCGAAGCGTTTTCACAAWTCACCTTCAAACCCAGTCCGATGGAATTTCAAACCACTCACTAAAAATGTCCTCAGAGATATTTCGACTGGCAGCACCACGTGGTCTGATGACCCCCAAAAGTACAATCGCAAGGGGTCACGGATCCCCTAGGGGGGTCATGTAAATAGTTGATATTTTCAGGCTTGATTTATGCGAGTTAGTCATTCTTAGCATTCAGTTTATAGAAATGAGCTGGAGTTTTTTTACGTGAGGGGAAGGGTTGGGGTGAGGTGGACACACCCACTAGAAGACGTTTGTCACACAAGGGTAACTATTTGTCACGCTAACTGATGCTGTCAAACTATAAATAAGCCCTAAGATTTCCAAAATTGGCACCTAATTCTCAGCTTAATTATATCAGTCCGCTATAGGCCATATAAATAGCCCGAAATGYTTTCGGAGATAAAAGGATAGTATAATTTTCTCCTGGATAAAAAAGTTTAGTCTAGCACAATTAAATCCAAGCGTTCTTGAAATATAAAGGATTCTAKTAGCATGGCATCAGATTGATGAAGTCATTTTAAACCGATGAAACAAAATTTGACTTAGACTAGTGTGATAATCAAATAGACACGAAAGATAAGGAATGCATTTAGAGCGTACTAAGGTTCAACTACTGGTGTAATATCTATTCTTCACCTTAAAATCATAATTGATCCTTTTCAAATAATTATCTTTGTTCAACAYGTACAATATATCGTTTATCAAATTGATTGCAATCTTAATTTTACGAATGATTGAATGCGATAATCCTTGAATCTCCAAATACAGATACAATCTAATAAAATCAACATCATGTTTGATCGTAACCTGAGTTTTATAAATGAATACAATTTTAGTTTCAAGAGCCAAATGCAGCGTGTTGATGCCCTTATATGGAAGCGCTGTCGCAGTTGACTGGCAGGGATCCCGTCGTGTGTTCTGTAAACACTCAACAAAGACATGGATTAATGACCCCAGTTAGACGTCCTGAAAGCGGCAAAATCAAACAAATATGTGTGTGTAATATTGTGCCTTGTAGCGGAAAGCATAATGGCGTGCCTCATTGCTTCATGAAGTTAGGTTCCTTATTGGGTTTTACGTTCTGGGAATTCTACCAAACTCAGTAATGCAGTACCAATTGAAACCTGCTTTTTGATTGCTCCTTAAGTACAGCACCACTATTGTTAGGTTAGGTTTTGTTATATTGTTGGAAGACTTATCTATTGTTTGTCCCTTGTTTTCTCAACCTATCATGAGACCCGTTCCGAGCGGTGCTACCTCACCAAACTACCTCCGTAACAACTCGATTTAAAACAGAAAGTTTGCGTGAACTGGGTGGGTGTTTTTAATAATAATAAAAAAGAATGAGACGAAGGAACAGTGCCCTAAAAGGTCCATTTTCACTCCGCGAAGCAAACAGCTTCACTTCTGTGTGCTGCTCGGACATAAGCCACTTACTTCATTCTTACGTTAGAATGAAAAAAAACCCTCATCCCGCATCCTCTCAAAAATCAAATCTATAGTTAATCACGTGAAAAATGCATTGTGCTTAAGTCAATTTTATTACAATCTCGATTCAAAGAAAATGTCCCATAATCCCTTTTTACATTTATTTATACTGGCCGGAAGTTGAGCATCAGGCAATCTCGTACCCAGCGCCCTTGTTCCTCTTACTGTGCATGCTCGACGAAAAACAAGAGTCACTGGTTTTCGTCGAGCCTGTGAGCCTGCGAGTAAGAGGGACAGTGGCGCTGGGTACGAGATTGAGCATCAGGGGGATTGGGAAGGGACATGACATGCGCAAAGCAAATCATCTTTCCTTTGTGTGTTTTACTCACCCTCCCCTCCCTTACACCAAAATAACCAGTTTCACCCAWATTCAAAGCTAATATTGCCTGATTTCAAACCATGGGAGTTTTTGTATCTCAAACGTTGTCGGATATAAATCAAAATGGTTGATAACGCATTCAGATTAACTARATAAAGTCTCCCAAGCATCCAAGAATCTTTGCGCGATTTTCACAAATGCGAAAATTCGCAATCTTTGATTTTGAACCAATAAWKAASCAAATTTTAAAAGAGAATATTTGTAAAGCAAAAGAAAGGATTGCAAAGGTTCTTGGGTACACATTGTCCTTTAAATTAAAGGCCCAGTTTGCACCATTATGCTTTGCGCTTTGCTTTGTTATGATTTACATCAAAATACTTCTAGTATCCAAATATCACCATAAAACGAATTTCAGATTGTTGAAATCCTTTCTATTAGCGTTTAAAGTGCTTAGTAAAGTAGATGGTCAAGTTTAAAGTGCTTAGTAAAGTAGATGGTCAAAGATTCGAAACGCACAGTACAAATTATAGACTTTCGGTAAACTGAAAATGGCCGCCTCCCGCCCCTCGCGACCCCAAAGCATAATGGTGCACACTGGGCCTTGAATGCATTCCAATGCCGAATCTAAATCTCAGGACGCTTTCGGTGGGCGGGTGCTTTCAAAAATATCACAGTTGCGCCCATGGAAACCAAATATTTTCGAACCGAGTTTTGATACGTAAAAAACAGCATAAAAGAGCATTAGCCTACAGTCGAAAAATGGACACAATCTTGCTGTATTTTCGAAAGCACCCGCCCAACTTAAGACTAATCTATCCAAAGCATAAATGACTAGCCAAACCACAGGACGCCCAAGTTCACAAGCCGAACTGAAGCATCGCGGTTCAATTACGGGTATGTTTTACATCATACGAAATCCGCTATAGTTGAAACGTAAATTTACGTAAGAAAAGTCTGCGTACGTAGACCCTTGCGTGTAACGGTAAAGCAACTACGTAAGGGACAAAACAAAAGACCTGCCATTATGTTTGTCCATAGTTGCATCTTCAGATCAAACGTTAGTATCAAACGTAACTGTCTTACGTAAACGTAATAAAAGTCTAACATTTTGGGGTTAGTTTATATATATTAACCTTTGTTAGACAAGTTAACCTTGATTAATCAATCAAAACTAGCCGCCGTTTGAATTTTTATTTTTATTTTTCACGAATTTAGTTCTAACACTTTCAAAAGATGAGAAGTGAAATTACGATGACTACSAATTTCCTACAGCGACCGAATTCAAATGACGGCTAGATTCAATACCAAAAAATATATTTTTTTAATAATTTTTGTTCGTTTTAGTACAAAAAGGACTACTAATAAATACCTAAGATTTGCGAATTAATTGAATTGTGGGTAAACGTGACGTCATAACTGCGAGCAATCCCATTGGCTGGATTGYTGCGGGACTAATGATGTYGATTCTAATTGYGATGCTAGGATTTCTTCGTCTTTACCACACAGTGGTGACCGAGTACATTGATGATCAATCTGCGAGAAAAGAAAATACTGTGAAACTACCTTAACAATATAGCATGATTTTCCGACAGGGGCTGGGTCGTGGGGTGGAGTGAAGCGTAGGACCCAGGCCCCGTCTGAAAATCAGGCTATAAACAATAGGCCTTTCAGGAAGAATAGGAAGAGTACAACACAGGAAGCCCAAGCAACAGAAAAAATGGAGTTTACATTTCCCATAATTCATTGYGGGAGCCATTAAAGTAAAAAGTTGACGTTCACTTTTCCCCTAGAGCCGCCCACGCAGGATACTTCCTATTAGTAAAGCGAGTCCTTCCTTCTTTAAATTCCCCTTGGATTTTCATTACAAGATAAAATACAGAYCAAAMAGGTAAAAAGTCATTTGAGCAGCCCGAGTAACAAAATGTAATTTAAACAAAATCAACTCAAAACGTTATACTTACATTATGTACTGTTCCATTACTATTAAATAAAGAACGTCGTATGGGTGATGAGCCTGATATACTTGCTGGGCTATTATTGGGTACTGTCAAGTTYGGGTGTGGTGAGCCATTAGGTGTCGAAGGMGGTCCAAATGGATTTACAAGGTTTGAAGGAGGATTGCGTGACGGTGAGAATTCTTGCCCAAGGTGTGACATCTGTTGTGTGACTGCTAATAAACCACCTTCGTCTACACATAGTATTACCCATATTACATCTGAAAGAATAATTAAAGAACTCAATCGGCTTTATNGTGTACCCAAGTGGGCGAGGGTGTCTAAAGAGGCACCAGGGCTGACCCTTCCACAAGGTCGCTATAAAAGTGATTGAAAAGAGCCACACAACCCCTTCTACATTTAATTCACCATCATGTAGTTTAAAAACTCACATTTTATTTCAAAAACAGATGAATAAATGTCAAAACTATATTTTCAGACTCAATACATGTATAAACTGTGCCTTGACATGGATCAGGTCTTTGCTTGATAATGACCCCAAATGAATTCTGATTCAAACATAGCGATACTCAATATGTTTATCAACAAACTCATTCTTATGTTAATGTGCCAACCATTATCAGAATGGCTTTTCACAAGTCACTTTGTTCAAACACCGAATTCTCTTTTGGTTGGCACGTGAATAACAAAGGCTTACATCACAGTGAGTATTGCTACTGAAAACTACAGACTTTATATCACTAACTAATACAGAGCCATATCTACGTTACAAGTCAATATAATCCACTCTTATATCTCACCTCCAAAGTAACTCCCAGTTGGTGTACACATTCTCCACTGTCCCTGGAACATTCCAGTCATATTAGGCGCTATCATATTTATACTGACATCTGTAGTAGTACCAGGCTCTAGTGGCTCAACTTGGACCGCAGAGATTGGTCCTAGTTGATCTCCACTTGTAAACTTTAAGAAGACACCACTTGGCCACCTATTTATACCTAAAAGCAAATAACTCTTATTTCAACAACATTTTATATCCAAATAGATTAAGTTAGGTCAAG